CTGTTCGTGAGCAAAAGCAGACTGATCAGCCTCCATATGGAGCACTTCATCATAATCAGATTATATGTGGTGTCTTTCTTTGAAAGGAGTAAACTGTTTGCTTCTCCACTTCTCCAATCTATCACATCCTTCTTCTGCCTGTTACACTTAAAGTAGACGTTTACGTGCTAAACCTTCTGGCTTACTCTCCTGACTCTCTCTGTATGTTTTAAAAGACCAGCTGTAGAGGATGCTGGAGTCCATCGCTGACCTCATCGTGACCTTCACTAAGTCTCTTCATTTCTGTTTGTGGTGTTTAGACCATATAAGCTGTAAATGCTCAGCATACCCAAGCCATTTGAGAGAATGAATTCGGGGACTTACTATATATCCCCTTGTTATTTGAGGTGTACCATAAAGCTTTCATATTAAAATCTTGACAATACTCAAACTCAACTCAAACTTTATTTATAAAGCACTTTCAACACCACGACTGGAACCAAAGTGCTGTACAGAGAAAGGTAAGGGGGAAAAAAATAAGAATAATATGGACCTAGGGGTACTGAAAAACTGCAACCAGCAGAAGAGAGTTCAGAGAGTGAAGACGTGTCGCCAACGTTAAGCCAAGTATCAGTAACAAATAAAAAATCAAGTTCGTGTGAGGCAAAGAGATCGTTCAGAATAAAAGTTTTATTTGCCAGAGATCTCGCGTTTATCAACGCCATTGTCACTGGAGTGGTGAACTCGATTACCAAAAATCGGCGGAGCTTAGCAAAGAGTCAGTGATGTTTCTAACTGGCCAATGAGGACCCAGTATTGACTCAAATTTCAAACGCAAACTGTCATGATATCTGTAATGTGCGAAGAAAGCAGGCAAAGGCGAGGATCTAAGTGCAAGGAGCAGTTTAATAAAGAAATAGATAAACATCTGCAAAAGCACAGGAAACAAGCAACTTCAAACACAAGCACGAACATCGACTAACACCGCAAAAGTGAAACACTAGAGCTGCATCCCAAATGGCGCACTATACTATGCACTTTTACACTATGTACTTATGCACTATGTACTCAAACATGTAGAGTATGAATTCTAAGGTTATTTTGTCATTCATAATCGGAGTCTGATAGCCGCTCCCCCTTCGCTGTGTAATTAAAGCTTTGACACTTGAGTGCATGAAGTGTCCAACATTCCACACTTCAATTTTTTCAGTTATTTAAGTGCACCATCTATATCCATATTCATGCATATCATCCATATTTAAGGTGCACTTTCCCTTTTTGGAATTTTCAGTGTGAAGGCACTACTCGCACATTAGGACTATATATACACTCAGAGGTTAACAAGCTTAACAAGGTAACGAGAGGGCGTGGTTAATGAACTGTCATGACAAGTAATGAGCGTAACTATGGCAACTAACAAGGGCAAGACACATAGGGACTAGACATGGGGAGTGAACACACACAGGGAACATATATCCAACACAAGGAAGATTTCATGATAATGATATAGAAATGTTGAAAAAAAAATGTTGTCAGTCAAATTCAATTTTAACTTTATTTTGTGTTTTTACTTTATTGGCCAATGAATCTTACTCAAAATACTGGTGTAAGGAGACAGAGAGCGAGAGTTTGTAACCATAACTGTAGAAATGTGTACAAAAATACCTTACTGTTGATCGGCACTTCCTGCAGACTGGTGTGTCAAAAAGCCCGTTTTTTTTTTTACGGAATCCGAAAACTCCCAACCTAGCAAACTTGATCTAGATGAGGGTAGTCTCACTTTCATCTGTCGTCTCCTTCAAATTTTGAGTGGCAGTTGTTGCTACATACTGTGTTGTCTTCTTTTTTCTGTTTTATGAAGTATGGCAACCAACATAGGTGCAATGCAGCTACCTACTATGCTGGAGTGTCAAACAAGTGGCACTGGATTATATACAATATTATCACATATGTAGTATTAACATGATGTCAGTATTTCATTTTTTTTTATATATATATATATATATCATGGTTGTTTTCAATACTGGAATATTGCACAAACTTTCAAGGATTATTTTTCTCGCAGATCCCTCCTGCTATCCATCAAAGTGACTATTACACCAGGACACAAGCTCTTATTATTATTTAATTTTTCCAGTAATGACTCCATCCAGTTTCCACCTGGTCCACTGCTGCTGTAATCACATGCCCTTCTTGGCTTGCTGTCATAAGTGCCGGTCGAGTTAAAGGTTTAGTACAAGATCTCAGGATGTCTGCAGACTTTGGGAGCTTTTGGCTCTTCACAGGAGCTGTCAGATAATTTTAAGCAGCAGTCAGGGGCTTCAGATTCCTTGTCAGAAATGGCAGTAACTTGCTGCTCCAGTAGAGCAGTGTGTCTAGAAGATTCTGACACGGTCAATAGCCATTTAAGAGGATGGAGCTGAAGCCTAATGTGGGAATGATAGGACGGAGATGGACGATGTCACTGTTAGATCAAAAGGTGCGGGGAAATGTGATAGACTGAGGCAATGTGATCATAACTTTTTACATGTGCTTGGAGTTCTGCATTGATTTGTATGTAACATCAGAGATGGAAATCGTTAAAAGCCACCGAGCGGTCTAAGACAATCAGTATGAAGTCACATGGCTGCGCACAGGCCCAAGAAGGAGAGATCTGATTAGACGAGAGTAAGAAATAAAAAATTGAAGCATAAATAAATAAAAAACATATATTATATACAATAAATATAAATATACAATCTTATTATTAATACATTTTATAATAATAATAATAATTATTATTATTATTATTAAAATACCATTTATTCATTTATTTTTATAATACTCGTTATTTTTGCTCTTTTATTTTTTATGTATTTATTATTTGTTTGAATAATAATAATAACATTATTATAATTTTTCAATAAAATAGTAATAAATAATAATAAAATATTTTCATTAAAATAAATAATAATAATAAAATATTGCTGAAATTCTCACATTAACATACTCAATTGAAATTGCTTTAAATTCCCCCACTTTAATGCTACAGTCATCAGATCTATGATTACTTACTAATAGTTTTGTGCCATACAGTTATAGATACAGAATTTAGCTTGTTCATATGTTGAATGTATATTCCCTGCACATTCCTGCATTGTCTTTCTTTTGTTTTTTTTTCTTTTTTAAGTTTGTCTGTACACATGCGTGTCTGTTTATACTAGAAGCATCAAAGCTGAAGGTTGTATCACATCCCAGAATGGACGCTTCCAGTGTAGACAGCTTCATTGATTATAATGGGAGTGATTGATGTTTGACTGCACTGCTCTGCTCACGTCTGGTCTGGTGTACACATGGTGTCAGAAACACGCCTGACATGAGTATAATTTAGAATTATATATAATTATACAGGGCTTTTTATGACTGGCTAGTCATTCAGACAACCCAAATTCTAATCAGTTTTATAAATATTTAATTTTGCACATCCCTACTTCAAAAGGTAGTCATAAAATTTCATTATATAGTGTGATTTCTTCATAATTTCCTTGTTTATATGACTGTTAACCAAACAGGTGATGTATACTCGCACCATGTGAAGTATAGTTCATTAGCTGAAAAGACAAACACATTTTAGCATGCAGGCTAGAGGCACAGGTGCCTGTGTTCAGTGATGTGTTGTGCTGATTTGGGCCCATTCATATTCATCAAAGCAGAAACATTGTAATCTGGTAAAGCCCCTCCATTAAAACAGCAGCAATGTGGCACGAATGTATGATTTAAAATGAATGCGCAGGAGTGGTTTTAATTCAGGGGGTTTAACTTTCGTAAGTGAAGTGATGCATCATATTGGGTCTTAGTTTATGGGCAGAGGAGATGTTGCTTGATGACACCCAACAGGTGTGTGTGTGTGTGTGTGTGTGTGTGTTCTCTGTTCATCTAGCCCAGAGCATATGCGTATGAATGGAAGTGAATGGAATGTGAAGTCTTCTTTAATCCCCATCTGTCACGTTGACAATGCAGCTTGAAGGCAATCCTTGATCATGTTTTGACATTTATATTCTCCTTGTAAAACTATTAGCTTACACACGCTGCCAGTATTGAGCCAAAGATAATGCTTTGAATGTATGTGCTGTCATTAACCAAATTGCTTACAACTCTAGTGATTTTCCGCTCAAAAAGCTATATTTTCCTCTTTTTTCCAGTTGTTATCAAGGTTATTTTAGTTTGATTTATTTGTTAATTTCGTTTTTGTCATCACAAATTTAGCTTAGTTCAGTGTTCAAATTCACTTTATTGGCAAAATTTTTATACATACAGTATTTCCCAAGCATCAATACACAACCAAACAGTGATGAAAAAGAAAAAAGATAGTAATATAATATAATGTAATATAAAAATATCTGCTCTATTTAGGTTTTAGTGTTTTTTAGTTATTTTTTTTATTTTATGGCTATATTATAATATGATATATTTTTCTACGTAAAATACATTTCATGATAAAATATTATTTTTAGTACTAGTTTCAGCCTTTTCTGTTTCAGTGTATTTAGTTTTGAATTTGAGGTTAGTACTTATTATGTCTATAATATAATATAATATATGAAGATATATATGAATTTAAATACAAATAAATATAATTATTAACAAAAATGTAGTTTCAGGGTTTTTTTTCTTCATTATATTGAGTTTCGATTTTAGTAATTATTTGATTTGATTTGATTTTTATGTCTATAATACAACATAATATAATATAATATATCTTTTAAAAATTGTAATTCATGATGAAAGTTTATTTTCAGTTTAGTTTTTCTTTTTCAGTATAAATGTAGTCTTGAATTTAGTTGTATTATTAGCAATGTGCTGATTTAAATGATTTCAACTGATTTAAATACTTTGGTCACTGATTTTGTATACCTTTTTGTTTTTGAGCGGAATTTCTCTTTCTGCTGCTTTTGCCATGCTAAACTTGCTTGCCGCTAACCCATAGCTATCCGCCGCACAGGTGACTGACCAGCTTCTGTGGGATTTGATGTCACCTTTAGATCGGTTCAATTGAAGATGGAAACACTGGAGTCCGAGCTGACGTGTCCAATCTGCCTGGAGTTGTTTGAGGACCCCCTCCTGCTGCCCTGCGCCCACAGCCTGTGCTTCAACTGCGCCCACCGCATCCTGGTCTCGCACTGCTCCAGCACCAAGCCTCTCGAGTCCATCTCTGCCTTCCAGTGCCCCACCTGCCGCTACGTCATCACGCTGAATCAGCGCGGCCTGGAGGGCCTGAAGCGCAATGTGACGCTGCAGAACATCATTGACCGCTTCCAGAAGGCCTCCGTCAGCGGGCCCAACTCCCCCAACGAGAGTCGCCGGCCGCGACCCTACAGCACCACGCTCGGCGGGAGCGCGAGGGGCAGCCCCGCCAGCAGCGCCATGTCCCTCGAGCGTGTCGGTTGCCAGTTCTGCGATCAGGAGCCCCCGCGGGAGGCGGTCAAAACTTGTGTGACGTGCGAGGTGTCGTACTGTGACCGCTGCCTGCGGGCCACGCACCCCAATAAGAAGCCCTTCACCAGCCATCGTCTGGTGGAGCCGGTGGCGGACGCTCAGCTGCGTGGGCTGGCCTGCCTGGAGCATGAGAACGAGAAGGTGAACATGTATTGCGTGGTGGACGACCAGCTGATCTGCGCTCTCTGCAAGCTGGTGGGACGGCACCGTGAGCATCAGGTCACCTCACTTAGCGAACGCTTCGACAAGCTCAAGGTGAGTCCCGAACTTGGTTCTTAAGGCAAGAAAAAAATTTAACTAATAGAAATAGCCATGCTTCCCTAGTTGATTGATTACATTAAGAATTGCAATCTTTTTCGTGTTACAAGTTTTCTGTAATGTAATGTAATGTAATGTTTAAATGTGCAAAAGAGGCATTGTTTAGTTCACACAAAAATGAAAATTTGCTGAAAATGTACTCATCCTCAGGCCATCAGTTTGTTTATTCATCAGAACAATTTGGAGAAATTTAGTATTAAATAGCAGTGAATGGGTGCCGTCAGAATGAGAGCTGATAAGAATATCACAATAATCCACAAATAATCCACACGACTCCAGTCCATCAGTTAACATCTTATGAATTGAAGAGATGTGCGTTTGCAATAAATTCATCATTAAGGTGTTTTTTTTTTTTTACTTCAAACCGTTGCTAACAGCTAAAGTACGAATCCTCTATTCATAATATTGCTTTCTCCAGTGAAAAAGTAATCTCATCTGAAACAGGAGAGAAATACGCACAGATCAAGGACCATTTATGAGCAAAAAACTGTCTAAAACAGGTTTAAACAAATATGTGGGTGGATTTTGATGTGAATGGACAACAGGGGATTAACTTTTTCGCTGGAGGAAGTGTTAGTTTTGGATTTTGGCCAGAAGTGACCGTTTAAAGTTAAAACACCTTTTGTTTCTCATTTGCTTTTTAAAAATATGCAGCGTTTCACTTCATAAGATGATAATTGATGGACTGGAGTGGTGTGGATTATTGTGATCTTTTTATCAGCTGTTTGGACTCTTATTCTGACGGCACCCATTCACTGCAGAGGATCCATTGGTGAGAAAGTGATGTAGGGCTGAATTTTCAAAATCTGTTCCAGTGAAGAAACAATTTTTTTTACATCGTGGATGGCCTGAAGGTGAGTAAATTTTTCAGCAAATTTTAATTTTAGGGTGAACTATTCCTTTAAATATACAACAAGTTGCATACATTTGCATACAGAACAGAAATCTTAACATTAGATAAAGCCAGGTTCAAAATTTGTTTGATTTTGTTGACACATTAGAGTCAAACATTTTAACAGAGGAGATTTTTGATATCTCTTTTTTCTCTCCATAAATCAGAAAATATTGCCAACAGCCAGAAAAAAACAAATGTGCCATTTTTGGGGGGTATAAATGTTATATAAAATCAGAAAAATTATATATTAACAAATCCCTCTGTAAAAACCTTCAGAATAAGGAATAAAACTCTAAAGGTTTTGTGTATGTAAATGCTAGTAAAGTGGAGAAAACAGCCTTTAAATTGAAACCTATAGAGGCAAGAAGATAAAGATGTATTTTGGATGTTTTCTTTCCATTAATCTAAAACAACACATTATGAAAATGATGACCAGTGCATGAAAAAAGTGTTTTTGCCTGCAGTGTCTTGCCTTACACAGCGGTTTTCACTGTTATTAACACTTTATTATAGAAACAGCTCTGACTCCTCTAAGTGAGCAATGCAAAGGGTTCATGTTGAACGATTTTGAGTGAAATAGTTCAAGGTGATCTCTTTGGTAAAATCTTTGTTGTCCTGCATCACGTATTGTAACCATCATTTATGCACACTTGTTTTTTTTCTCTTTAGTAAGCTAATTTCATTTCATTAGCATCACCCTAACTCATTCTTTGCTATATTTGTTGGCTTTCATAGTGGAACGCTTCATGCATAGTAGCAGCCAGAACTGCCCAGCTGTTCCTTTGAGCAGAACTCATTATCATATTAGATGAGTCTGCAGTCCCTAAAGCCATTCTCTGTTCGGCACTGAAACGCAATGCTGACCTACTACAAAGACCCTGATTGCTGAATCAGTGCTAAAATACAGAAGCTCACACAGAGCTCCCAACCTATGAATACACTCGCGCCCATCAGTATAATCATTCACAGCTGCAGAAGGCCAGAATTACATCCGTGCCTTGTTTTTTCAATGGCATCATAACTTCAGAGCAAGTTTGCTCCAGATCAGCCTCAATTATCCCTGCGAAGTTCGAGTTACAAGAGAAGAGCAGGTTAAGGCCGCTAGCGTTATGTGCTTGTTAAGTTCTCATGGGGTGGATTTGTAAATATGAGCCCACATAGAGGCCTTTACACCATCATAATCTCGCTCCCATGAATAGGCCGCCATTGACTTCTGCATCAGCATTATAATAGCAAGCATAGAGGGCACATGTGATCTCCCTGTGATCTCGTGTCCCGGTTGACATCTTTGTTCACACCAGCTCGCACAAAGGAAATTCCGATCATTGACGCTCGCCCCATCTGGTTTTTGAAGAAAACGAACGCGGCTCTGCTGAAACTGCCTCGATTGTGCTAGATGAAGTTCATTGTGTGTTGCTGAAAGTCGATACCTGAGAAAGTTGCTCCTCTTTTGTCCCAAGGTCTTCTTGCAGGGAAACAGAAAAGAGGCTGGCAGTATGCAAAGGTTACAGCATCCAGATCGACATTTAATTTCCTCTAGGAATCCCGACGGACTGTGAGGATTTACCTCGGTTTTGAATTACTCACTGGAATGTTCTATCCATAATTACCTCTTGTGCAGTAGAAGCTTGTTGTACACATTCCTCACGGAACCTGTGACAGTCCTTACTCGTTCCGTTTAAAAAAGTTGCGCTACGCCTAAAATAAGACGCCAGGTCTAAAAGGCACTTTAATGCACTTTTAATGCAAAACGTCCGGATTGAGGTTTGTATCTACATTGCAGAGGCTTATTTGAATGTTCGCCTGCTGAAGCTTTGAACCTGTCTAACTTTGAACTCCCAATTCACAACCTGAAGAGAGAGAGAGAGAGAGCAAAGACGCCGTCATGGCTCAGAGCTTCAAACTTTTAATCTTCTTCCGGCTCAAGTAAAATGAGAAATCCTTGTTTGTCCGTAAGCTTCACGGTGGTGGATGATGATGATTCAAACTGTTCCACACGTTTAGATGAGCTTTGCTGTTTCCTAGTCAACATATTACATATTAGTAATTTATTAATATAACATATTAGTTGCATATTACAGTTATTGTAAAGCCAAAACGCAGACTCTCCTGCAATAAAGTTGTAGTGAGGTATAGGTTTGCACATACTCACGTCCTGAACAAAAAATGCATTTGGCCCTGAGTAAAAGTTTTGTTCATATTTTGCTCTTATGATTCATGTTTTCCTTTCTGATAAATAATAATAAGAGTTTTTAGAATGTATTTTATGTGTTTTGAACATAACTTTCTGCGTGTTAGTTAATTATTAAAGGGGTCATATGATGCGATTTCAATTTTTCCTTTCTCTTTGGAGTGTTACAAGCTCTTGGTGCATAAAGAAGATCTGTAAAGTTGCAAAGACTACACCAAATACACAACATAATGTTCTTTTTAGCGACGTCATATGACTCCTTTAATAAATGAAGAGAGACACATTGAGTTTGGGGGGAGTGGCTATTAGCTATTTAAATGAATTAAATATTTAATTATGTAGGTCTGAGAATGGGGACTTATAATACCTGTAAGTAGTTGTCATTGGAAAGTAATAGGAATTGTAGTTATCTTTACAGTTATGCTTAGTTTGACCTATAATGAAATTGTTTTTATAGCTTTAAAAAAAAACATAATGGAGATTAATGTTGCTTTCAATTAAGCAGAACCTTATTTTTCCTTATTTTTCCCAAATATTTAATTAAGCTAACCGCATTTTCATTCAAGTCTGTGACTTTTTTTTTATTTTTTTAAGAATGATTATTATTCAGCAAGAATTCATTAAACAGAACAAGCGTGAAAGTTAAGACTATTACAATCTATTTCAAATAAATGTTCCAAATAAAAGTTTTGAACTCTGTGGGAAAAAAAATCAGTTTCCACAAAAATATTAAACCGTACAACACTCATAATAAGTAATGTTTCTTGATCAGTAAATCAGCATATTAGAATGATTTCTGAAGGATCATGTGACACTGAAGACTGGAGTAATTAAAAAAATATGTTTTTACTACACATTATTACTGTTTTTACTGTATTTTGGATCAAATAAATGCAGTATATATATATATATGACCTCAAACTTTTGAATAGTAGTGTATAAAAATCTTTTTGAAAATTGGGTTTTCAGTGTTGATGCTCTCAGACGCTTTGTTACAGGCAGCTAATTGATTGAAAAGCAGGTCATGCCGTTCAACTTTGTGTGCTATACTTCAAGACGCTAATGAGCTGCCATTCTTTTAAAACCTCATCAACACCTCTTCACGCACTCTTCACTTCTAAACAGCTGCAGAAAGGAGCCAAGACAAATGTTATGTTTAGGTGGTCGCTGTCCATTGCACTCAGCATGCGTCTTCCATCCGCCTATTGATCTCACCTCATCTTCTGCATTTGAACGTGACTTACATGAGTAACGTCGGACGGCGAGGCCTTCAAAGCATGACAGCACTCTCGCAAACGCTCAGGGATTAGGTTTTACAGGGCCAAAACAAAATATGAAAAAAGTGGCGATTAAAGGCTTAATTTCTATTTCGGAAAAGTTGCAAGTTGCAGCAGGCAGCTTTGATTAAAGTTCCACCCCGTTTGGTGGTTGGGCCTCTTACTCTAAGCTACTTAGGGAAGCCGTCTATCTTTTCACAGATATAGGAGCCCAGCTCAGCAGACACCAACTCGTCCAATTCTGCTGCATTCAGTGAGCCATCAGTAGGCCGCTGGGGTCATTTTCAAAATGCTCCTAAAAGACAGTTTTTAAAGCCAAAAGAGCAAGTAAGCTGAAAGGTGCTTGATATGAACTGGGCTTTCCTTCCACCTCAGCCAGATTTCCCTACTGCAGCCACATTGGCCTGGTTTTGCCTGCCGTTCAGCCCAAGGTGTTCAGAGGAGATAATGCAGGAGGCAATATGTCATGCTTGTAAATTTAAGCACTATGGAAATACTACTCATTTAGGGTGATGAAAGGTACAGATTTTGTATGCACTCACAGCTGAATTACACCCGTATTCAGAGGACCGTG